TGCGCGTCATAATCTTAAGACATCTAAAAAAAATTTTTTTGCTAAAAAAATAAAATAAGACATAATTTTAAAATTTTGATTTATGTCTAAACTTGGTAATCAAAGTGTTTTATTCATTATTTTTTATAAAATCTTATTTTATATATGTATAATCAGGATTTTGGATTTTTTTGTCTTAAGAGGTGCGTCAAAATCTTAAGACACGCCCCCCTAAAAACACGTTTTATAGAATTGTAAATACTACATTCGTTTTATTTTGTTACAATAAACTACTGCATGATTTTATTTTTCTAATCTAAGCTACTATAAAACGTTAAAAAAAAATAATTAGTCTTACAATTAAACGGGACGTCTTATTTAACTTAAATTTTTAAATACAAACATATGCTTAAAATAATGATATCTGTTATTTATTGTTTTTGATTTAGAAAAGTCATTTTAAATTGCTTCAATAAGCCTCATGGGCATGATGGTTTTGATGTTTTTTTTAAAAAAAAGTAATTCAAAAAAAATAAAACTTATTTATTGATTTTATCACCTCTTCCTTTAACAATGTCGACCATACGCTTCTGCATTCCATTGACATATTTTAACAGATTTTCGGGTGTAATACTTGACCAAGCTACTAATATCGCAGAATGTAAATCTTAAATATTATTATATTGTTTCCCTTCTCTATAAATTATTCTCGACATATCTGCCCATAAATTTTCAACAGGATTAGGATCTGGACTTAATGGTGGCCAGTTCATACAATCAATATTATTGTTTTCAAATTATATCTTAATTGCACGAGCTCGATGGCAAGGTGCATTATCTTGTTGAAAAATATAATTTAAATCGCTATCTACATCATTAATATTATTACTTTTACCTTCAATAAATGCTAATAGAGGTGTATTTATTATACAATAAGCGGTGCTGTTCATTTTATTACTAACAATTAATAAAATAAATTGTTTACTAAAACAAAAACTGGTCCAAACCATAATGCCTCCTCCGTCCTGTATACGCTTACTATATGAAATTTTTTCTTTATTTACATGATGCCAATAATACTTAAAACCATCTGGACCATCTAAATTAATTTTTTTTTCGTCAGAAAATATAATTTTATGCCATTAACGAGTCCATAAAATTTTATCTAAAGCAAAATCAAACCTTTTTAATTTATGGACTTCTTTTAAATTCGTACTTTGCCTAATTTTTTTATATACAAGATTATTATTTTCTTTAATTACTCTTAAAACAGTAGAATTTAATACTAATAATTCTGAATCTGCTTTAATTTTGGAAATACTGATCGCTTTATTAGAACCCATATTTTGAATTTTTTTATTGTTCTAAAAGAAGGTGCCCTTTTTCATGCCTTTTTTATTACTACTTTTAATAAAATTCTTTGAGGTCGGGTAATTTCTAGTTGTAATTCTGCTTCTCCCCAACACTATACCAATTTGCTTAATATTTTTGCCTGATAAATTATAAGCATCAATCTGTCCTTTTTCATACTCACCTAAAGATTTCCCTTTGCTCATTAAGAGATAAATAATTTTTTTCAAAAAAACATCAAAACCATCATGTCCCTGAGAAAAGTTAAAGAAGTTAAAAATCACTTTTCTGAATCAAAAAACAATAAATAACAGATATCATTATTTTAAGTATGTGTTTGTATTTAAAAATTTAAGTTAAATGAGATGTCTCGTTTAATTGTAAGAATAATTATTTTTTATAAGCGTTTTGTAGTAGTTTAGATTAGAAAAATAAAATCATGCAGTAGTTTATTGCAACAAAATAAAACGAATATAGTATTTACAATTCTATAAAACGTGTTTTTTGGGGGAGTGTCTTAAGATTTTGACGCACCTCTTAAGACAAAAAAATCCAAAAACCAGATTAGACATATATAAAATAAGATTAAATAAAAGGTATTTTTTAAATTATTTTAATTACAATGTTTAAACAC